GTATTTATAAAATAAAATTTAAAAAAATTAGTTCGTCTCCAGACGGTCACCAAACGATCTGAGATCGTCTGGAGCATATATTTTTGTCACTTCACATAAGTTTTGGATTTTTCTATCATGGACGGATTCTCCGGTCAGAAATCTATCCCTGAGCATAAAGACATTTTCATATTATTGCCTTTCCTTTGTTTTTTGCCTTAATTTCTTCATAAATCGCTTTGTTAAATATCGCGCTCCAGTGCCAAACTCTCGTGCATGCGTAGTATTCAGCTCCAATTTGGATTTTCACTTTTATCTCACGTTTTTTCTTCCAGATTAGCAAATCCTTCTTAAAGGCAGTGTCCGGGCAAAAACTCGATTTTGAGATTTTGTGCTTATACGGGCCTATTCGCCATGCTGAATCCGAAAATCCACATTGGAAAGCGCGAAAACGGCAAAGGGCCCTAACACAGGAGGGAAATCAGCAGGTGGGCGGGGCTTTCCCCAGTGCGATTTCACGCTCCCGGCTCCCGGAGCGATTTTCTCGATTCCGCTAGCCGTCCTAACATCGCTACCGGTCAAGTGCGAATGATTGACTTGAAACCGGAAGCGAGAAGGTCGCTCCGGAAGCCGGGAACGTAAATTCGCAGTGGGGAGGGCCCCGCCCACCTGCTCATTTTCCTCCTGTATCAGAGCCGTTTTTCGCCATTTTCGCGCTCTACAATGTGCATTTTCGGATTCAGCGTAGCGAATAGGCCCAAGTAAGCACAAAATCTCAAAATCGAGTTTTTGCCCGGACACTGCCTTTAACACATTTCGGACCGCGAAATCGCGCGCGGCGAAAAAGAGTGTACTTTCAGCCGTTAGCCAACAAAGGGACCTTATTTCTCAGGCTGTGTGTTACATCTGTAATCAGCATGTCAGATAAGATCGATACCCAAAGTGAATGAATTCGAAGTGTTTGAATTTGGTCGCTTGAGAAGTACTTCTGTGCTTTCTTGAAAGATAGAGAACTCAGTTTCTAATCACATACAAAAGTATCTATGTTGTACACGATAGGATACACATGATTATTGAAATTACGGCTTTTCTCATTGAATTTGAAGCAAAGTTGCGACGTCGCACGCGTCGTTCGCGTCGCCGCACTCCGTTGCAACTGTTGTTCGATTTGTCCTCATATCTCCTAAACAAATATCGGCGGCACGGCTCTACGGAGTTATTTGAAAAGTAGGAGCCTGGGCCTTTGACATGATAACCTTGGACAAAAAGAAAACCTCCTGTAAACGTTGAACAGATCCTTCAAACAGCGTGCTGCACCATGTGCAGCACCGGTCCGAAACGTGTTAAAGGGGACTTAGTAAAGCTTCCGAAAGTCAGGGGAGACTTCGTTTTCAAAATCCCGAGAAACCGACTCGTGCCGGGCCTTGTTTCCAGCTGCCTGGGCGAGATGGAGCCTATCGGCGGCATACAGTTCCCTACTCGCCGCCTTGGACTTCTAGCCACGCCCAGGTGCTATCTGGTCACACAATGACCCTCAATTCGGAGCGCAGGCGCTGACTGCCACAAGACTTCTGCCGCAGGCCTAGAGAAAACACCAAACCGGGCATGAAAGTGGCGCAGAGCTCATTCGCCTTCTACGTGCCAACACACCTTGAGCAAATTCTTCGCCTTGTCATACTTCTGGCTGCACAACAGCTGCACGAAAAGACAAGGAGTACGAGCTCGGCACATGATTGATTGTATTTTTCTAACGGGAGCTACTTTCGAACCGTCTGCTGCGAGCAGATCCGATCGAATCGTCATGTACGTAGTGATTCACGAAATCACGACCCACCGGTGGATCGTTTTTGTAATCATTGTAAATCCACGACACTACATGAGACTTTGGCACATGTTTGGAGACGCCCCGAGGAAGTAGGCGCCGACGGATTGTATGGTCCGAAACGGCAGAAACGGATAAAATAATCTGGCCGTAAATGTGTTGATGGCACAGAAGTGCTCGATAAAATTCACTCCATTATCGGTTTTATTCGAGGAACAGAGTTACAATATGGATGTTGTGATCAGAGGGCGATCGAAAACATTTTTGTAAAAATAGATGTAGTAGCTGCGGGACTATCAAAAAAAAACCCATTGTAACACCAGCCTTGGAATGCTCCCTGATTTCCTCCAAAGACAATGAAATGGTACATCATTTCACAATTCCAATGCTTTATTAACCTTCCTTTGCAAGTTCCTTTACCACAAAACGGAATTTCATCTTTACCATGTAGAAACTCAGCTAAAGTCTAGATCGGGCATCTCATTACAAAGTAGGTAGTCTAAAGGGCCGGGCATATATCACTCGATTCCACCATCTCGCGTCAACAAGTGCACTGTTAGTGACTCATTGCATGTTGATCATCTTACGATTCAGTCTGATAATTTTCGACACGCTAATCGCGACTAACTATTACAGCCAAACTGCAAGATGATCGGCATGCAATGGACTCGCAACAAACTTCTTGGGAGAATCGAGAGGAGATGAATTCCTGTAACGTATGTCCTTGAGCAACGTCTCACTCCACCTCCCCCACTTCTCACTCCAGACCCCACCCGCTTTACTCGGGATGGAAAGATTAGTTTTGAGGTGGGTAGATAATACGCACGAAATTGAATAGATATAAGGGCCTGAAATGTCAGTTACATTTGTAGTACTGTTTGATAAAGATTTCATGCTACACAGTTGGACGAACGATGAAATTCTTGACTTCTGTTGAACGATAAAAATACGGAGCTGCCAGAACAACTTGCTATAAAGGATAACAGGAAATATTTGGATGTCCCATAAGTCTTTTCATATATGTTCATTCACCGACGTAAGACAGTTTCTCTCATATTTCCAATAGGATGCAGGGCATATACCAGTCTACAAATCAAAGCAAGCTCTACAAGATAGCGTTCAAAAGTTCGCAACAAGGTTGATCCGGATTTTGTTTCAAGAGAATATTTGAAAATTCGATTTTCCGAAAAACGAAAATAATCATATTTCAATTCAAAAAAGTTCTGAAATTTCCCACTCGCTCACGCATTTAATCTCTTCATCAGATATTTGTATATACACATTCTGCATTTTTCTGGTTTTAGAAAAGATTCGCGAGCAACGCAGTCGAAAACGATTGTATTAGGTATTTTAGTGTTTCAGCGACCCAGCACGTTCCCCCATGGCTTTTGAGAGGGGGATAGGGTGAAATCGCTTGGCAAGTCGAAAAGGGGCACTCTCTTGACTTAAATCCTTCGTATTAATTGTCCTGCATTACATAAACACAACATTGTGTCTAAAATCTTTATTGTATATTCATAAGTAGGAAAGGGAAAGGGTAATCGCCGGTCACCCGGTCGGGCGCAGCTTATCCGGGGTTGTTTGGCCCCATCATCTTTGACCATGGCTGGATAGGAACCCATTATCAAAGCTGCTCCTGTACCAGTTTGTTCGCTGCTTCGATTGCAAACAGAGGTTTGTGCTGTTAATTTCATCACTGTTCAGTTGCTTGACTATTCTTCGAATTAAGCAAGGTCGCACGCCCTGTCAAAGGAAGGAGCCGTCTTGAGCTGAGGAAAAAAATGACTCACCAGGATTCTCTCGTGACATACTCTTCTCACCGTCTGGTGGAAAAAGTTTTGCTTAAAGGCAGTCGGCAAATCTCAACCTAGTCAAATTTGCGCTTACCTGGGGTTTTTCAATACGCTGGTCCCGAAAATCCACTTTTGAAAGCTCGAAAAGGGCGAAAATAAGCACATTTTTTAATGCCCTTCCCTTTGAAATTGGACGAGTGGAGCCAGGCCGATGATGCTAAATCGTTGTAGGACCCAATGGTTATAGCGTTGCGGCGGGCAGCCTCCCAATGGTGAGAAGGAAATTGCCAACTCGTCCAGATGCGTGTAAGATTGGCCTGCGCGTGTAAGTTCGAGAGCGATTTTCTCGGCAGGGAAAGCATGCTGTGCAACCGGCATTGCACTGTTTTCATAGTTGGGCGATGAGGAACCTATCGCGTTAAAATCCTGAGTTGTTGGATTTTGCCGACCCACTGCCTTTAACATTATTTGGGCCGTCACACAAGAATCTGCCGTGAGGAAGGAGACTAACAGCAACGACTTGGAGATGCTTGGATGACATATGTGAACTGTTACAAACTGGGATTTGTTACAGCAATCCCTTTGCCACAGCGTAGGTAATGTCAAGTAGATTCTCCTCCCCAAGGCGGTGCAAAACTGCTCCGGGGAAGTCTTGTCGCCCAGGTATGGGGTTTTCTTGGCTTGGGGGAGGGGATGGTTGAACACTCAAAAGCTGCATCGGCTCGCTATATCAGACCCATCATATATCACTGCATATCGAAAAGGAAATTCTGAATACAAGTCATGTTTTGTCACTTTTGGACGTTCGAAGTGAGAGCTACACCTTTTCGAAGCAGTGGCACTCCCAGAATTTCCGTCCATGGGGGGGGGGGTGGGAGGCAAAAATTCTTTTTGAATGAAGGTGCGGAGCGTTAGCCACGCATTCCGAGGAATTTTTTGAAGTGCTTCTCGAAATTTGGCGGGCCCATAACCCCTAAATTCTAGAAAAAGGAGGCGTGGCTGCAGCCTCACTTGCACATTTTATGACCCTTTAAAGTAAATTTCAAAGACTTTGCAGCTCACTTTCAGGGGGAGGGAGGCCCCACCTCCCCTTCGGTCCGCCACTGTCTGGGGGGTACTGTCTAGACTCGCACATGAGCGTACTGATAAAAAGCTCAAACACCTCAATCGAATTAGGCACGCCTTCAAGCTAAGGCCTTCCCAGACAAAGACGGCTGCCCACGTAAGCGAAGCGTGTGCTAGGGATACGAACTCTGACAAAGGAGGATGCTCGAGCACCGTCCGCAACACAATTCATTCGTTCAATCGCTTAGAGACTGCCTTCGTCAGGGAACCTACAATGCTGTTGAAAGAAAAATCAAATGAAGCGTGTTGAATACAAGTGAGATCTGAATCACTATGCGCAGCATCCTCACCAGTATTTTATTGCTGTCATTAATTATTAATTCATACAAGCACATTCGAAGCGATGAGCTAAAAGTCCACCTGTGCACCCTCATAATGGCTTAAGAATTTTCGCTAAGTCAAAAACTTACAAAATAACATAGCTGTGAAAAATGAATCTCGTAGTGCCTCTGCAAACACAAAAAAAAAATCTTAAAAGTGCACAAAAACTGCAAAAAGGATACTTGATAACATTCATCACCGATCAACAAAAAAACCAACAGCCCAACCAAGACTTCGCGTGCCTCTACCATCAACAAGAAAACGCGGTAGAAGAACAAACACGATTGCCAACATACTAAGCGAAACACAACATATGAAACCGGCGCCAATACGGCATGCAAAAATCATAATGACCGACTAGTTCGGCAAGGTTCGGTGAGCTCCTAAAGGTGAACAGCGATAGTAGAAAGCTGCTAATGGCGAAAGGAAGCGCTTCATATAAGCGCAGAGGAATCTGCGCTATCATTCAAGCTGACAGTACAACTAATCGAGTTCGTCTTCGCCCAATGGGGCTAAAGTTTTTTGGGTATCAAGAGCGACCATGATTTGTTCTTCCACCAGTTCTTCTGCCTTTACACTGTCCGTGTCTACGCCACCTGCAAGAGCTTCTGAGAAAAAGTACAAACAAGTTACGCAGAGAAACAGTACCACGGAGTGAAAGCCTTAGATCTTTTTGAGCTGCAATCTTTTTGAGGTTTCTTTGACGAATAACATCGAATGCTGCCATAATTTTCCTGAATTTGTCATGTAAGTACTGACGTGAAGCACAAGATAAACCAAGCCCTACCGCCTTTTTTCCACAACTTCTTGGCTAGCACGATTTTTCTCCTCATTGTCTTCGCGTTCAAAGCGAACTGCCGTCTTCTTCAGATTATTCTTGATCTCCTGAAACATGACTCAAACGATAACAGAATCACTAACGGAGAAATCACTAAAAAGAAACAAATACTTGGAATCAAAATAAGTTCCTCACGGACAACCAGGCCAATTATAGGCCAAAGACTTTTAGGCCACAGACAAGCAAAGTGCCAAACAGTTAATTGAGACAAACAAGACTCAAAGCTGGGAATGCAAGCACACATACACCAACCTTCAACTTCTGTTCGCTAAGTTTTACTGGAGGTCGAGGACGCCACTTGAACTGAGACAATCTTTCCAATGCTTTTCTACACAACTCACGGCCCTGAAAGGATCAGGATCGGCTAACAATGAACACAGTCGCTGAAATAAACACAAAATATCCTTGGGATGTGAATATATTACCTGAAAGGTGTACAGTCTGAACCCTAGATCGGCGCCCATTCTACCACCGAGAGTAGAGCAAGTGACAAAGTATCGTCCTGTAGGATCCCAGTATCCCTACAAGCCGATTTTTACAGAAAAATTCGAGTTTCCTTTACATCACAACAACCTTATTGAAACCTGGATGCTCCACGACATTGGTACGCTTTGCTTCTTGCAAAGTCGTATCAACGAACATAACATTACCACCTGTTGACCGCTTAGCTAGCACAGCCAGCCATCCACCAGCGGGAGCCCATGATACCTAAAGCCAACATAGAGTAGGTGAGATGGTACTGAAAACAGAACCTACTTCATTGAATTGCACGCCAGCATCGAGCTTGCTCATCAATTTTGGTGCATGACTGTTTGCCTCGATCCGATACACCAATGGAGTTGCCTTTGCTTGATTCCCGGTAAGCACGCAGAATTTCTCTCCTAAGTGAATTGCAATCAGGTTCACTACAGCAAAGATGAAGCTCTTACAAACCATAAGGCTGCCACCCAAAATTGATGAATGGCTCAGGCAGAGGCAGATTCATCAGTGACACATCTTTTTGTATCTCAAAGATTTCGATGTGGTACGTGCATCCGCCGACATATTTGACTTCTCCGCCCTCTTTCATCTGCTTTTTGGAATATCTAAATTACCACTAAAGGGAGACAGTACAGAAGCTTATGAATAAGTTCAAAAAGCTTATAAATATAAGCTTCAAGAAAAACAAGACTTTCTAATCCAAGTTTGCGCGATCATACTCAAATACATTCGGCGATATCTTTGTCGTGGGAGGTAATTGCAGTGATCAATGCGTATTCTTCAGAGCTAATGTAAGATGAAACGGAATCTAACTCAATGCACAAGCTCCATAGATCAACCTCCTAAGGCCCTAGCCAGACTTCGCTCAAAAGCGCTCAAAAAGCGCTCATATATCTCTAATCCTCTCATCTCTCCTCACACGAGAAAGTGGAGACATTAGAGAAATTTGGGCGCTTTTGAGCGCTTTTGGGCGCTTTTGAGCGAAGTCTGGCCGGAACCTAAGAACTACATGACAAAATGAGAGCAACAAAGATTTTTACTTTCTTTGATGGGCTGCACAGCCAATATGGAATGCAGATTTGTACTATGCATACAGATGTGTATACTAATATGATTATGTATGTATGTATAATATGTATACTAATATGATATCCATTCTTACTAATTCGCAATCACTATTCTGCTCTTGCTAACAAACTGAAATATCTATCATACCTCATAGTGTATACGGCAAGACGCTGACCACTTTTTTGCCAGAACATTTGCGCGTCAGCAACATTGTAAATACGTCCAGATCTCAATCGCTGCTGATTTGGCATTTGCACAAGACCGAATTCCGCAGGCAGAGAATCAGTGCACTGAAATAAATGAACTTATAAAAACTTTTCAAGCATGATTTAAAGCGTACCTCAGCGTAGTAAGAGATTATGTTTGCCGTTGGACTCCAAGAAAAAGTTTTTATATTTTCCACTATAATATTACGATGATCAACAAGTTTAAACGTCTCCGTCTCGAAGACAGATATCCCATTAACCTGTATAAGACATAGAGAACGAGCAGAAAAAGAAGCAAAATGTTAACCTTCTTCTCCTTCTCAAGTTTGTCCTTCTCAGGTGCTTTCAAACAAGCGAAAAATTTTTCGTCAAAAGACCACCTAAAGGCTGAGACTAGAGGCAAATAAAGAGGTAAAGACATCATCTGTATCAGAAACATCCACGACTTACTGGAAGAACGGCCAACAAGGAAGTTGATCCCGGTTTGTGAGCGCGTAAAGAGAAAAACCTTTTAGCATTTCGCCAGTTACAACATCCCAAATTCGTAAGCAATCCTCGTCATCCCCGAAACGATTCTTTTCAGCGGATTCGGCGAAGGTAACCAAATAACTAAACAACAAAACACTGACGAACATCAGAAAATGCACAAATCAGATATTACGTTTCACATGGTGAAAAGTCGATAAACTGCACATTATCATGCGCAAATCGCTGCACACGCGCAAATTCTGGCCCACCCCACAAAGCCACGCCTCTTTTGTGGATCGTAGTCATATAAGAACCGTGTGGGGACCATTTGAAAACGGTATCTGTCCATGACTAAAATAAAAAAAATAAAGGTAGACAAGCGAACAGTTGCAAGCCTCAACTAACCGGGCGTTCAGCTTTGCCTGCATCACCAGCAATCTCAGGGTCATGCCCTTTAATATGCCAATAACAAGCAACCGTTGGGACGCCATCCTTCTCGTACTGCACAGCGAATTGATCACGGCAACGAGGGTGCTGCATCCACCACCACAAGTCTCCCTGAATGGTTTACAGTAGGCATTCAGTGAAGTGAAAGGTGATACGTACCACGTCATTGTAAGGCGTAGGTTGTGGTGGCTGCCAGTTCTCCTGAGGTTTTTGAAAATGCCTGGCCTCATTGAATAGAAGAGCAGAAAAGACGTGGTTTTTGTCCAACTTATAGCCGTTCAGTACACCTCTCGCGTATTCTGCTTTTATCTTGTCAGGAAATTCGATGAAAACGCAACCCTATATCAGATACAGTTGACAAATGCATACAGAAAACCTTTTGAAAAATTTCAGAAATAATCAGTAGTTTAGTTTATCTATTATAAATGGGAAACAGCACTGGTATTACAATGCAAACAAAGTATCGACTGCTCTACTCACCTTACTTCCTCCTTCCTCTGTGAGAGGAAAGTGAGCTTTATGGTCGGGTTCGACATTTGTGAATACTTTGCCAAGAACGGTCTTGAGTTTTCCCATTCTTTCAGGTCCAACAATGGGAATTCCAAAAATAATCAGACAGGCTTCCTCGTACTCATCTTTGGAAGGCTGCTGACGCAACACATCCATTACGAGCTCTAAGTATAACACACTTCAAGATTGCCGGGAATATAAGATGAAAATTTGCTAAATCTCCAGTCGTAATGGCAAGAAAGAACGCATACCTTCATCAGTTATATCATCAACATAATCTTCAGGATCAGAGAAATCCGGCTCCTCCTCATTTTCCTTGTTAAGATCGATTTCAACCATGTTTGCTGCACGAACCTAGCAAGCTCAGCGTTTTGCCCTGAATTGTTAGAACAGCTTGACCAAAATACACGATACTGACTTCGAAATGCAAACGAAACCACGAAGATACATTTAAGACTTTCTAAACGGTGCACACGATGCACGAGATGGGATACAAATGTGTGTAATAACGGTGCAGTTACAAAAGTTGGACGCATTTCTGCACACATTGTGTCCCACGATTGCCGTTGGAGAACCGCTTCACTAACTATATCGCAAACATCCGAATGACAAGCAAAAAATGCCAAATTTTTTGGAGATGGAAACGGTTCCAAGAACTGCATGGCTAGACAAGACCCCAGCGGGTGATCGATTGGTACATTTTGTACAGTTAGAGCCAAGCGTAGGAATTGCAACTTACCGTGAATGCACAAATCTCGCCAAAAATGTTTGATCGACCGTATTTCTTCTATATATAGTGCCACTGATTCTGGTGATGGGCGCAAACACAGGCTCAAACTGGAACGTGATTTCGAAACCGAAGTTCATTAGTGACAAGAGTATAATAGAGGCCAAATCTGTGATTTAAATGTTTGAGGCTTCTCTTTTTTAATAATGATCATAAGTGCTATTATCAAGTATTATGAACCCCCCTATGCAAGATACACGGAATTTTGAGTTGGAGACCTCATGCAGCTTGTTAAGGTAGGTGCCAGAGTAAGCGAATATGTTCAGGTTGGAGTCACGTACAGGCTTTCATCACACTTTTCAATAATCCAGTCCGAAAGGTTAGATACAGACTGCATGGTGAACTATCGTGGTCAGAGTATGAGTGACTGTGTAATTTTGTTCTTTTAAGGACCGCCATGAGCGTATGGAATAAATAAATAAATAAACTTCAATTTCATAGCATTTCGACTATACATAAATCTTGGCATAAATGTAATCTTCTCGTTGGTTGTTTATGCTAGTCCAAGATTGGTACAGATCTTTATATTAGGGTGAACGGTAAAAAATGGGACAGCTTGATTTTCATTACATTTTGGAATTTTTTGTTTCTGGCAATAGCAAGTAAGCAGCAACTTAAACGTCGCTTACATGGGCGACCTTCGCTTATTATTCTGACAACGCGTTAACGCTCCTCTTCCACTACCCTACACGTGGCGCCGTGAAGAACTCGAACAGAGTTTTTTGCACAATCCTCAATCTTGCGCTGTTATACCGTAAAGTCGTAAAGCAAATGACATACCATTCGAAAGAGCTCTTCATGCTCTTTCGAACGATATGTTAAATGCATGAGATTTCTTTTCAATTTCAGAAAAAAAATTCGAAAAAACCTGAAAAATAGCTATTTTTGGCGCAACAAAAAACCAAAAAATCATGTTTTGCCCTATATTTTCCGAAGATAGATAAAATCTGAAGTAAGCTGCATATGGATGGATAGAGCGTAAAAAGCTCTATCAGATGATACCCAGAAATCATGCGTTTACCTGCAAAGAATTGAATAACGCGTATCTTTATTTTCGAAGCTGTTAATGGGTATATCTCCTGACATTGAGAGTTAAAGCCACCAAGCCGTCGTGGGTTTGGTGACTGTCCCACCACTCACTCCAGCAGCGGTACTTTGGGTGGTCTCACATGTTTCACTGCGCCGATACTGCTCAAACTTCATAATTTCTCGAAGTAACTAACTTTGCATTTTAGCAAGTATAAAAATTATCAATTATTTAAATGACCTTATATAGGTGCTATCTGAAAGAGAATAATTTATTCTAATATCCATCAAAATTGGAAAGTTCAGTCACTTTTCTTCCTTGAGAAATCTGCAATTATTCTCAAGGTGTCCCATTTTTTACCGTTCACCCTAATAGTACAAAATACAGACTAACGCTGAAAAGTGAAGACGCATATGTAAGCTATCCGATCAAACACCTTGTCGACTACAGAAAAGAGCCCACCCCCTAGGAAAAACAAAGCGTCAATCAAAACGCAAGATTAAGCTAGTGCTCACCTGAGCAGATGATAATTTGGTGGGTACATAACATTTATTTCATGTAAGAGCCCCCACACTAGAGGCGCTATTCCAAAATACACAACCCAGAAACAAAAAATTTCCACGCTATTCCAAAAGCCACGACCCCTTTTCTAGATTTTAGGGGTTATGGACCCGCAAAAATTTTGAGAAGCACCCCATCCCAAAACTTTTTTTATAGATGGCTAACGCTACGCACCTTCATTTGAAAAATTTTTTTGCCGCCCCCTCCCTCCTAACGGACGGAAAACGTGCGACCGTCACTGGTATATGGTAGGGGGTCAAAATGAAAAATTTGCAAAAAATTTCGTTTAGGGGATTGTTCGACCCTCTGATCACGACTACCACATCCATTCCTCACCATAGCGCCATATGGTGGGGTCACGGTAGTGTACGGCGTGGAGGAGTCAGAAACTCAGATTCGGCTGAAATCTGGTCTAGAGAGGTTATTCGACTCGCTGATCACGAATATTTATTCATTTATTAGGTTAGCGGATAATTTCTGTAACATTTTTATTTTTATTTTTTAAAATCTAAGAAACTTTCGAAAATTCTTATGTTAGAGGAGTGTTGGCGGGGTGCAAAGGTCTACCCGCCAGTACTGTCAGATCCGCGGTCCATGCGCAAAACACCCACTTTATCGGTGGGAGTACATTTTATGGACATTTCAGCGGGTTGGCATTCTTCCAGGTGATTGGGAAGTGACCGGGCGATGTGGTATTCGGGCAGGGTATGGTCCATAGTTTTTGGTGAACGTAAGGGGATGGCGCAATCATGTCCGCACACGATCACATAAGCTACATGTTGCGCCAAGTCAGCGCACATTGGCATTTTGACATGAAGAAAATTCTTTGAAAAATTACAAAAATTATTTCCAACCTTTAAGTATCAAATTCTACACGATGCACACAAAAAGAAAAATTTTTGACGAATTTTTAATTCTTTTGAGTTGTTTTTCACCCCTTGTTTTTGGCGTGCTAGTGGCACCAAACTGCCACTATAAAAGAGTATAAAAGAGAAGTAAAGTATAAAGTATAAAAGAGAGGATGCGAAAATATGTTCTGAAAAAATTATGGGAGAGAAAATACACAACGAGACGCAGAGAAAAAAATCAAAGAAAAAATGACAATTTTGAGTGTTTTTATAAAGTTGTCGTAAAGTCGCTGGCTAATTGCGCATTTGCGGCATCAGTGTACTGTTGTGTACGACCTGCAGTGGTCTACATATGGAGTAACTTTGAAGATTCTAGAGAACTTCTGAAACTTTCCAAAGTTTTACGAAAAAAGTGTAACAGAAATTATCCGCCAACCTAATATTTATTCAAAAAATTACTGTAGTATAATGTGCTAGACAGTAGAATCGCTAAAAAATGATGCATAAGGCCTCGGGCAGAGTTCACGCGATTTGACCGTCGCGTTCAATCGCTACAAGACAAATGTTACGAGTTCATTGCATGCCAGTGGCGTACCGAGGCCCCCCCCCTCCCGAAAATGGTTCGTGAAATTTTTGAAAGTTACTTACATGAGTCATAAAAATGCGCAAGTGACTTGGTTGTACTTGTAAATAATTAAAATATTTTTAAAAAAAGTACTTCACCTCTGCTTCAGAGGTTCGCACTGGCATCGTGAACCGTGGTAAACTCACTTTCTGAGAGCTTGTCTCTCAAACATTGTTCGGTTTATTGCAACGTGACCCGCAGTTAAAAATGAACCATACTCGCTATCTTAACCTCACATGATGTTTAGTATCGTAAATCATTCCTCACTGTAATTTCGTAACGGACAAACTCCACACAACTTTAGATTAAGCCGCTATTATAAGTCATGATTTTTTAAAAATTCATTTCAGCCTTAAAAAAGATTTTTTGGGGGGCTGGCTGACGCCACGCCCCTTTTTTCTGAAATTTCGGGGTTCCGAGCCCTCGAAAATTTTGGCGAGCATACCAAAAAAATTTTCGGAGTGCGTGGCTGACGCCACGCATGCCCATTGGAGAAAAATTTTTGTCGCGCCCACCCCCATCGGAGAAGAATTTTTGTCGCCCCCCCCCCGAGCCGAAATCCTGGGTACGCCACTGTTGCATGCCGATCTTCTTGTGTTTCGGTTGTGATAGTTAGTCACAATTAGTCGTGTTGGAAAACTATCACAACCGAAATGCAAGAAGATTGGCATGCAATGAACTCGCAGGACTTGTCTTGTACCGATTGAATCGCGACGATCAAATCGCTCAACTCTGCCCGGGGCCTTATACATCATTTCTATTTTAGCGATTCTCCTATCTAGCACATTATAATACAGTAATTTTTTGAATAAATGAATGAATAAATATTCGTGATCAGCGGGTCGAACAACCTCTCTAGACCAGGTTTCAGCCAAATCTAGTTTCTGACTCCTCCACACCGTACACTATTTTTCGAGTGACGCTACGCCCCTTTTTTCCAGATTTTAGGGGTTGGGGGCCCGCAAAAATTTTGAGAAGCCCCCCTAAAAAAATTTCGGAGTGCGTGGCTGACGCCACGCACCTTCATTTGAAAATAATTTTGGCGCCCCCCCCCCCCCCCGAGCCGAAATCCTGGGTTACGCCACTGCCTCAAACATTATCAAAAGCTTCGATCGCACGCTTGAAGAATAGGTAGTAGGATGTATGTCCAAAATAGAGCATGATGGGATACCCTAGTGCGAGTAACAGATCGCTTTCGAGTGGCATGCTTTGGTGGTAGTACCTAGGCGATATGGCAGATCCACTCGTACCTAGGCGTCCGCACTACCGACCGCCTCCATTTCCTCCGTGTTTGAGCAAGTGAATGTAATAGATGCAAGATAAAAGCTTTCAATAATGTGAAGATGGAGCGAGTCACCTACCCTCTTCATTACTACAGGATCTACAGGATTACGGTAGAAACTTTAGAGAGGGCTTTGAGCCATAAAAGACCATATTTTGCCTCAGAAAGAGAATAAAATAGCCTTAAAACTTTCACAATGGGCTTATTAGAGTTGCTGATTCTAAATGTGAAGTTCGCAAATTATCATGATGCTTCATTAAAAAGTAACGCGAGGTAAGCAGTAGCGGCCGTTTTCCCAACATCCTGTACGTTGAGTATTGGGCTCAGTGTCCACAA